CGCCTGGACGGGGCTCAGGTCTCCTCCGGGGGAGGGGTGCTGCTGGCAGCACGGGCGATGCTCGGCTAGTAGGTTTTTGGCTACGCTTGTACCGATTCTGCCCCAGCTGTGGGAGAGTATTTAATACCGGTGTAGCTCAGCCCGAGCGTGGCCTGATGGTGCGGTACCGGGGCTTGTCCTTGAGCTCCCGGCAAGTAGCGAGGTGTCGCCGGCTGAGCCGGCATCACCCAGCGCACCTGGCCCAGTGCCCACGCAGGAGGAGGTCGGTGAAGCGATTCGTACCCCGGTGCTGTTGTTGCCCGGGTGAGGAGCACGGAGGCTGGAGCTTTTGGGATGGCCCCACGTGGTCCAGGTTTGGCTGCTCTGGAAGCTGAGCTAGTGATGATAAAGTTATCCCTGTCTGAAACTAATCTTTCCTCTGTGGAAGCATGACTCTGAGGCTCAGCTTTAAAGACAACAAGGAAAAAGAACGGTGTGTTACATGAACTGACTCTCTGTTCCCTTCCTCTGTTTCAGAGCATGGTGTGGTGTCGAGCAAAGGTGAAAACACTCACGTGCCTGGGAAGCTGATTCCTTCACTGGACTGACAGTAAACCTGCACCAGCTGCACGATGGTGAGAAACACCAGCATTTATCTTGTCATAGTCTAGTTTTCACCTCTTGCTAGGCTTTGGAAGTGAGACTCATTCTTCTGTGTTAGATGATATCCTTCTGTGTCCCTGGGGCTACTGGGAGGAGATATAAAAGCCCAGTGGCTTGATTAATGTAATTAAGCCAATCAAGGCTGTAGCTTTGTTGCAGCTGCCACCTGAGCGTGCAGCTCTTTGCTGCCGTGGAGCACAAGTTGAAAGGTGGCACAGAATGAATGGGAATTTTACTGTTGTTGGTGCCCAGTAGAGCACCTGCTTGTCAGCGTGGTCAAGGATGAGCAAGAGTAGAAGGGATTACAAGTAGGAGGGATTGGATGACAGCCCATTACGGTGACACTTGACACAGCTCATCTCATAACTGTATTTGTCACAGAAATAGATCTAGTGAAAGAATAATTGTTCTGCTTGCCTACCTGGCGGTGCACTGGGACAGTTTCAAACTTGCATCAGGTTGCTGAGGGTGGGGAGGTGCAGTTTACATACACCAAAGGGTCATCCTAGAAAGGACGCACCCTGAAGAATCCTTCCCCAGAAGGGATGTGTCTGTCTTATGTCTACTTAAAAGCATTTCTCAAGATAAACCCATAGACAGTTTACATCCTGGATGAATGGATTATTCTTGTGTGCAGGAAGGGAATTGCATTAAGATGTTTCTGTACGATGATGAGGAGGAGGTCTGCTTGAAACAGCTAAAAAGGGTCAAAACCACTGAAGTAAGGGAATTGCATTAAGATGTTTCTGTAAGATGATGATGAGGAGGATGTCTGCTTGAAACAGCTAAAAAGGGTCGAAACCACTGAAGTCTCAGAGGTGGTGGGGTTTTTTTTTTTGTAAGCAAGGATTTAAATAGCATCCACCTCCCAGAGTTTCTTTTCTCTGAGTGAGACAAGTCACGGCGAATGTGTGCCACCTGAGCGTGCAGCTCTTTGCTGCCGTGGAGCACAAGTTGAAAGGTGGCACAGAATGAATGGGAATTTTACTGTTGTTGGTGCCCAGTAGAGCACCTGCTTGTCAGCGTGGTCAAGGATGAGCAAGAGTAGAAGGGATTACAAGTAGGAGGGATTGGATGACAGCCCATTACGGTGACACTTGACACAGCTCATCTCATAACTGTATTTGTCACAGAAATAGATCTAGTGAAAGAATAATTGTTCTGCTTGCCTACCTGGCGGTGCACTGGGACAGTTTCAAACTTGCATCAGGTTGCTGAGGGTGGGGAGGTGCAGTTTACATACACCAAAGGGTCATCCTAGAAAGGACGCACCCTGAAGAATCCTTCCCCAGAAGGGATGTGTCTGTCTTATGTCTACTTAAAAGCATTTCTCAAGATAAACCCATAGACAGTTTACATCCTGGATGAATGGATTATTCTTGTGTGCAGGAAGGGAATTGCATTAAGATGTTTCTGTACGATGATGAGGAGGAGGTCTGCTTGAAACAGCTAAAAAGGGTCAAAACCACTGAAGTCTCAGAGGTGGTGGTTTTTTTTTTTTTGTAAGCAAGGATTTAAATAGCATCCACCTCCCAGAGTTTCTTTTCTCTGAGTGAGACAAGTCACTGGCGAATGTGGTCCTTTGTCTTTTTCTTCTGTGCTAAGTTTGTGAGACAAAAATTGCTCCTCTCTGAATGGAAAACTTCCTCTCTGACCCAATGCTGGTTTTTGTCAGAAGGGGTGGAGAAGAAATGAGCAGACAGACTATTTGAAGTAGGGTTGCTAACAGTGTTCAATGCAACTTGTATTTTGGAGGAAATCATCCTGCAGAATCCTGGGGTTGTGCTGTTGCCCAAAGAGAGCTTTGGCAAGAGGGCAGCTGCTAAGTTGGGGTTCAAGCTGGTCAGAGAATGGTTCAGTATTGCACGTGGCTTGTTTTCAATTCATTAATTGTATGTCACATCTGTAGGCAGCATGACTCATCTCCTGAGCAGAATACCTAGTCTTTGAACAATTAACAGGAAAAATACTAGTCATCAGAAAGAACGCTGGCCATCAACACGTCTGCATCTGGGTGTCTTTGCTCTGTGTGTAATTTTGTAGCACTTGAGGAGTTGACATAGCCAAGGGCAGGAGAGAAACTGAGCCTGTGATGTGCTGTTATCCCTGTCTGACAACTCAGCTGTGAGGGAGAAACAACTGTCCACTGAGGCTTATGTATTTCCCCTTAACGGGTCTCCTACCCCTTGCAAAGACTCGAGTGGCACCAGTAGGGCAAAAGCAGTGTCTCTCCCCTTTCCTCCTGTCCTTGTGATGTGTGACCGCGGCACAAGCACTGTCCCATCCACACAGGCTGTTCGGCAGCCAGCTCTCCGAGCCCAGATACAACAAGGCTCTGTACAGGGAGTGTAAGCACTGGCTGCCGTTGTCATAGCACAGTTTAGATCCATGAAGAGCTTTTAAGTTGCGTGTCCAAATAGTGAGGCACAGCAGCAGGTTAAAGGACAGATAAGAAATGCATTTTTATCTGACTTGATGTACAGTCACTGAATACACACGCTGTAACAGCACTTTATCTCCAGGTGGCTGACAGCTGCCTTCTGCTGAATAATTTCACGCTTTATTTAACAGAATTTGTATTTGTTTGCAGAAGATCAATAACATTCACTGACAGGCTGGACTGGCAAACTTGACGACAGTGGACTTAAGAAATCAAGGTTGGTGTGCAAAAGGGGAGGGAATGGTACTACAAACCAGCAGTGAGAGTGGTTGCTCTGTCAATACAGCTATATTCCAAATAGAACCAGTTGCTGGGAAGAGCACGTGGGGCTTTTGGCTTCCAAGGATTAAGGGGAAAAAGGTGAAGAGGCAGCCTGGTGATAAACAGGAAAAGTAAAGGCTACTCAGTGCTTTGAGAATAGAGAGGGGCAGGAGTTGTTTCAGAGCAAACTTTTTAAGGAAAGCACTTACAGCATTGCTTGGTGTTGTCTCCCAACTCTAGAAGCAGCAGCAGGAAGATTGTTCTGAGTGGGTCTCGCAGATGGCCACTGAGATATCCTAAATGGTGTGAAATGGCCACCGGTGCGTAACTGCAGGTCCTCCTCTCTGCTCAGCGGTTGCTGCAACCGCATCATGGGTAAGTTCCCAGTAAAGCCAAAGAGATGTGGGTGCTAGTGCCATTGGCTTGCAGGGGTCTGAGGTTTTTGTCTCCTGACACCTGTACTCTCCGTGAAATAGTGCAAATTGGGAACTTCTCAGCTGACAGTTGCTTTGCTCTGACACTGTCTTTTTTTTCCATTAGGACCTGATCTACAGCTGGCTGGAGGAAACAGTGGTTCCATTCTGTCTTCTGTTCCAGAATAAAAAAATTTATGGAAAAACTTGGGAATTTAAGTTGTTTTTTTGTTTGGTGGTTTTTTGGCTTTTTTTGTAAAGGTTATATACTTGAACAGAAATGTTTTTGAGCAGGTGGAAAGGATTTTGGATTAAAACTCTTCCTGCAGTTCAAGCAATTGTGAGCTTACCCTTCCTAGCAAAACCTGCTCCTCCCTGAAACCTAGAGGGTTCAGTGTCTGCAGAGGTTTAAAGCAGAAGAAAAGCAATTTTCATGGTAACACCGTGACCAAAATGGTTCTTGTAGCCTGAGTGGAAGCTCAAAGATCAGGGAGAAGTGAGAGGCAGTAGTACGGCCATAGGGTTCCTTGTCTGCTAAGTCCTTAAAATGGAGTATGTTTAACTCCAGGGAATAGGCTACACCCTTGGCTAGAAACCCTCCCTGTGAAACGGGAAAGCAGGGTGTGCGTCGTTCCTCCTGCGCGCAAACAGCTCTGCCCATGAGCTGGATGGGATTCCTGGCAGGATGCTGCACTGTGATGGCGCTAGTTTCTAAAACCTGTTCTTTTTGCCTTCTGCATCAAGGTGCTGCCGATTGCTGTGTTCAAAGTCACCTTCATGGGCTGTGCTGAGGCTTGGCCAGAGCTGGTTTGAGGAGGTTTTAGTGCCGTCTTGGTCAGGTGATGCGAGGATCAGGCTCGTTCTTGTCATAAAAGAGGTTTTGCTGAGTGCTTGTGAATAAAAAACAGGCCGAACAGGCTGCCTTGGTACCATTGTAAGGTGGCTCTGATGCAAACAAAGGTTAATTTGAGACCTGGGAACACAAGATGGGCTCCAAGCTAGAGATTACATCGGAAACAGACTTACAGACTAGTCTTCGGTAATGCTCATTTGAACTGGCTGAAAGCAGCCTGCTGCGAGCTTGAGGGGGTTTTGAGGTTCCCTGGCTCACGGCCAGCCTATCTCTTGCCATCTCTGCCGTAAATCGCTCCTCCCCAGCCAACGGTACAGGAAAACGGCATCCTGAGTGGAAAAAGGCTGTGCTGGGAGCTGGTCCCACAGATCCGGCACAGCACCGGGCACCAGTCCTCCCTGCCAGCCCATCGCCAGGGTTTAACCCCGCTGCCATCCCCAGCCCTGCCCCTGGGCTCGCTCTACATGCGACAGCTCCTCTGCTGTGGGAGGGGGGGGGAGCCTCACCCCTACCCCATTCGCCGAAATAACAGAAATGGGCATAAAAGAAAACAATCATTTAAAATTTATGTAATTACACAAAGTGGGAAAGTGTCTCGGATGACACCTCTCTCACTGCCGTGCCATATCAACCTTCTGGCCACCACCAGCTGGAGTATCCTCTCCATCGGGTCCTCCTTAGCAGCGCTGGCTTACACAGGATGGCTGAAGGGTTCAAGACCTTCACCTCCCAGTGTTTGTTGGTTTTGTTTTTTTTTAAATAAAAAAAAATGAAGAGAGTTACACTCACTTAGAGTCCCCAAACGAGCTAGCAGGTTCCCTGACCCACCTGGCACGGGGCTGCCTTCTCAAAGCGCTTAGAGGGCATCGCACAGTCTCTTGTGTGTGAAAAACCCAACAACCCCACTACCACACACCCTGGGGCTGTAGGCCAGCTCTCATCTCCAGGCTGCCCAAGCCTGCTGAGCCGCTGGCTTTTCTACTGACCACTGGGGGCAAACAGGTCCTTCTGGAAAGTGGCGCATGTCAACCTGGCTGGAGTTTGGGCTTTCTACAGTCCAGGAGGAAAGCGTTCACCACCTCGATGGTCTAATCTCCAGTCCAAAGATTCATCGTGCTTGTTGTGGTCCCACCGCGGCGATCAGCGTTTGAGCTGGGGCGTGACGGCAAGGTGAAGGGTGTTCTTCCAGCCAGAGGCTGCCACACGTACACACCTCCAGCATCCTCTTCCAGCATCACCCTGCCCTTTCTGTGCTTCCCAGCCATGTTCGTGGGGCTGGGAGGTCACAGCCACATGCCATCGTGCTTCTTGGTGCCCCAAAGGCTACGTTCAATCACATAGAGCCATAAAACTTTGCTGGAGATCCCCGAGGGAATGCAACATTTCTCTACCAGCTTCGGCTCGTCCCTTACCATCACACCACCGCCGACTACAGTGTGGAGGGTCTGCTCCTCGGGCTGGCTGGCCACCTGGGGAGAGCCCTCGCGAGGGAGAAGGTGGCCTTCGGGAAAGAGAAGAGCCACAGGAGTCCTTGGACTTGCTCCCATGGGCGACCGCCCAGCCTCACCGCTGGTAGAGGGTCATGATCCCTGCTCGGTGCAGGCTCCTCCACAGCGCCGCCTCCAGCATCATGTCATGGTTGGCGTAAAACACCAGCGGTTTCTTCTCCAGCTCGTAGTAATGGTCTGAGAACTGCTCATAGTTGGCAGTGATGAACCCGTAGGCACTGACCTGCAGGGAGGGAGGGGACAGACAGGAGATGGGGTCAGGGATCCACTTCAGGTAGTCCACGCACCATACAACTCCCGCCAGGGACAAGGGGTGGCAGAGGTAGGACAGCCACCAGGACGCGCTGGTCCCCTTCAGGAGCCTTACAGCAGCTAGTCACCAGCCCCCAGCACCCAAGGTGGGGGTTGTCCTCTGGTCTCTTACCTGGTCGCAGGTGTGGAGCGCGGTGAGGAGCATGAGGGCGCCGGTGCTGGGCATGTAGAGCGAACCGTACTGCGTGTTCAGGAGCTCCGACCGCAGGAACCTGCCGGTGGACGCGGCAGGTCAGGGGAGGGGAGCTCACGGCTGGCAGGGCACTGCGGCCCCCAGTGCCGGACCCAGCAGCACCCAGCACCCGTCCAGCCCCCACTGTGCACTCAGTGACACCGGTGCCCAGTAAAGGCAGGAGCACCGAGTGAAACGCAGTGCTCGTGTGGATTCTCTGATGGCTACTACTAAGGTTCAGCTCATTCGCTGCAGGTTGCTGACGCGCACCTGCCTGCTGTTTGAAATCACCCCAACCCAGGCACTGCTTTCATGAAAGGCAGGAAAAGACAATCCCTTTGGGCCCTACCTCTGCTCCTGTTAGTCTAAGTCAAAATTTAATTTATTTTGGGAAATTGGAGGCGAGGCGAGCACGGTGAGGCTGTGGGAGTCTCCCTGCCAGGGGACGATGTGAGCTGTGCTGCAGTGAATGGGAATGGTGTGGGAGAAGCCTTTCTGCTTTGACTGAAGACAGCAGGACAGAGGTGGTTCCAGTGCCTGGGGAGCACTGGGACTGCACTTTGATACTGGGCAGCCACCGAGAGCGCGGTGGCAGGAGGCGGGTGGCCTGCGCCCGGCCCGGAGCAGAGCCAGGCAGCAGCCGTGGTCCTCATCATCCTCACCTCGCTGTCAGGTACTGCAAGAAATCAGGATGCAGCAGCTTGAACTTCTCTGCAGATGCCTCCGGTCCAAAATACTTCTGTGGCCTGCAGCGGGGCGAGGAGAAGGGCAGAAGTCGCGTCATGGGAGTCTTGGGGCTACTTGGGGTTTATCCCACCAGGGGCTACTTGGGGTTTATCCCACCAGGGACAGATGTGGGGTGAGGGCAGGCAAGTCATGCTCTCTCCAGTGAGTCACCAAAGGTGCTGGGGGGATCTTGGGGAGGCTACTCACTTGTCCCCCTTGTCCGAGCCCTCGGGTACCGGGTTGCCCTGGATGGCCGACTTCAGCATCACGTAGTCACGGACATCCGAGGGGATGAAGATGTACCTCAGGTCCTGCAGCGGGGACACAGATGTGGCACTTGGAGGGGCTTTGGGGCACTGCCCATGCCAGCAGGGCAAGGACTGAGGGCTCCTGAGATGGGGAGAAGGTTTGGGGGGCAAGCCCAGCCTCAGGGGACAATTTGGGGTCACCTCCCCAACAAGCCCTCAGGGTCTCACCTTGGCCTGGGGTATCTGGGTGAAGCCATACTCCTCGTAGGCGATGAGGGAGTTCTTCATGGTGTTCACTGTGAAGCCATAGAAGGAGATCTTGGTCCCGACATCCTCCTCAAAGCCTTTGATCACGGCACCGTTGAGCCTGTGGGAAAAGCACAGGACACATTATCCAGGACTGGCCTCTCCCCAGCACCTATGGCCCCATCCTGCCCAGGACCCATCCACACCTGAAGACCAGGTCGTGCGCGTCGATGGCCTTGCCCTGCCGCGAGCCGTTGAGGATGCCGCCGTTGCCCACCAACGCGGCCCCCGGGGAAGGCGGCCCTGTCGAAGAGGCGCCTGTTGGCGGAGGCGTTGAGGAGCCGGAGGGTTCTGCCCACCGCTGGAACGGTGCAGGATGGGGCCGGTCAGCGGGAAAAAGGTGTGCGTCAGCCCGCGAGAGCGTCTGCAAGCTTAAGCACGCAACAGCACTCGGAGAAGCTTGCACAAAAGCGTGCCCAGGAGCAGCACACAGGAAAGCTCATGCCCTCCTCGTGCAGGAGAGAGGTCTACAGGTGGGATGGGGGGACACCAGCCAGTCCCTCCTCTCCCAGGCTTGGTGTCACACCCTCGCAGCCCCTCGCATCCCTCAGCCTCCTCCAAACAGCGGCCACCTGAGGCTGTGCAAGGCACAGGGACGCATCCGGACATCTCCAGCCCCAGCCCTGTGGATGCTGCTGCCCGCGCTGGCCTCGTCCCCTCCTGACAATGTCTCCTTACAACTGCCACCAGTTCACACACACATCCCCCCTCCACCATCCCCAGCACTTCCCAGCCCAGGGATTGAAGCCGGTGGCTGCCAGCGAGCGCAGCGAGTGGGTTTGGGGTAGGAAGGGAAACAATCTCCATCCACAACAATGGAGCGGGTTGTCCGAGCCCCTCCGGCCCCAGTTAATAATCATGCACACACTGGAGCTTTTATTCGGGGAAAATGTCACAAGATGCAGCAAGCAGCGTTCGCAAAGCCGTCCCTTCCGCCCCGTGCCCTGGGAGGCAGAGTGGGAAGAGATCAAGGTCCCCGTCTCCTCTGCAGGGCTTCTCCGCCTGCCCCACGTCCTCACTCCCTTCTGCTGGGCGCCCCTCGAGCTGCCCCGCTCCCTCCCTACACCCCGCTGGCCCCGTCTCCTGCCACCTCCATCCCGGTTGGGTCCGTACCTGCGTGGGACAAGCCTTGCCAGCCGTAGGGGACGTGTCGCGTCTTCAGCCTGTCCCAGGTCTCTGGGGTGAAGTGCTGGTCCCACATCAGCACGGGGGTGTCGAAGCGGAAGATCTCCCCAAACTTGGGGTCTGCCTTTGCTCTGGCCATCACCGAGCGGGGGCACGTGCCCGGCTGGGAGGGAGGAAAACCTCGGTTCAGTCTCCAGCCTGAGTCTACCTTCCCTCCAACATCTCCACCCCTCAGCGGGCACCGAGGAGAGGACAAACTGGGGGACAGAAATGCTCCTTGTCCGCCACATGCTCTGCTGGGTCACCCAGGCAGGACACTGCCTCGTGCCTCGGTTTCCTGATGCAAAACACCCTTTGGTACCCAGCTCACCGGGGCTGGGAGGACCAGGGCTCACAGAGCCACCCGAGAACATAAACCCCATGAAAGATTCAGCACCTTCTATTGGGGCACCCCGCTAAAGACCTTTGCTGCACCAGAACAGCCCCAGTGCCCAGGACCAGTCCCTCCCAGAGCCTGGGTCCATCCTCACAAGTCTCCAGCCCAGGTGGCCCAGGCATCACGGGGTTGAGGGACTGGGTGATGCTGGCTCCAGCCTCCACATTTGGGAATTGCTTGGGGAGGGGCTGCAAGCGCAGCAGGGAGGCCGGGGGGGACCCCCACGTTCATGGACGGAGGAGGTTGTTCCTTCACACACACACACACACACACACACACACAAAACCCCTTCCAGACGATGCTGCTCCTCCTCAGCTTCCCCACGCACACCTTCAACCAGCAAATCCCAGCAAGAAGGGGCACTGGGGACGCTAATTACACTGTGCTAACGATTACCTGCTTTCTGCTGGGCTCGGGCTCCTCCAGCTCAGCAGAAGGCTTGAAGGACTTCCCACTGGAAAGGGGGAAATATACAGCAGAGTTAAAAATCCATCGCTTGGGCACTGGGGAACCCCACGGTGGGCAGAGGGCTCCCAGCTCATGCCAGGATGGCTGTGCACACCTTCCTCCCCCCC